GAACTATTTTTCTTACAAATTCTTAAGTGATAGTTTCAAATATTAATTTTTATATTTTCCTATAAGAGACAATGGCTATATTGTTTAGTATCTTATTAAAGTATCTAGGACTCTAGGAGGAGGTGCTTCAAATAACTCTATATCAATCACTGGTTAAAAATGATAGAGACAATATGAATTTTACGTAATAACAAAAAATAAAAATAAAAATTGATCAATCAATAATAATTAAAATAATACTCCGTAATAAATACAATTTACAGTAAACTATTAATTGATTAATTAATAATGAGGGTCAACCGTGAAGCGCCGCCCCATTGGAGCAATCTAGTGATCTACCAATGAAGAGCGTTGAGGCATTAGGCAATGATGATGACGCATTGCATTTGAGTTTTGGTTGGGACAAAAAGTAACGCCGTCCAAATTGGGCCCCACAGGCGGCAACCTCCTCCATCTATCTATCTGGTAAAATATTATATCTACCCGGGCTTAGCTCAATGGTTTAGTTGGCAGTACTTGAGAGAAGTAATCGGCGTTTAGTGATTTTTTCAACCTTGACTATATGTATTTTTATTCTTTACTTTCGACTTTTACTTTCACAATTAAAATTTTAATATAAACATTTTGGACACTCATAAAGAAAATAACATATTAACGCTCGCTATATCTAAGAATAAATTTGAGGGAGTAAGATTTAAAAGTACATATAGTAGAACTCATCTATCCCACATATGGGAGGTCATGAAATCGAGTCTCAGTGAATGCAGTGTTCACTCTTTGTGCTTCAACAAATTGAGAAAGTATAAATAAACAGATATTACAATGTAATAGAGTTAGTAGTACTTAAAAAAAAAAAAAAAAAAAAAAAAAAAAAAAAAAAAAAAAACTCATCTATCTCCAACCAACCAATGCCATCCATGATCCATCCCATGATGTCTTTCTCATTCAGTCACTATTTACTGTATAAAAAAAGGTGGCGCATGCCGGTGGACTTTGGCTATTATGCGCCGAAAGACTTTGTACGTCTCTGTTCTCAAGTCTTATCCGAGGTGAGAATAGGCCATGCGTCCTTATTAGTTATTACGCCCACCGTGCCCACCCCCCATTTTGCCCGACGTCCATTCTTCTAAGTTACGTAATCATTTTTTTTTTTTTGTTATAGTTGACAAAATTTTGTGTAAGACTCTCTCATGTAAACAGGTCAGATCGATATAAAATGTAATATTAAATTAAGAATAAAATTTTAATTACATATAAAAAAAATGTAATAATTTTGAGAAAAAATGTAATACTTTTACATTTTGATGTAAAAGTATTACATTTTTTTATAAATGCAATATTATTTATACGAGAAAATATAATATTTTTTATGATAGAGTAATACTTTACATCAAAATATAAAAGTATTACATTTATTTGTCTTTCAAAATATGATATTTTTCCTTTTAAATAACAAACATTTTATTCTTAATTTAATATCACATTTGCTAGTATAAGTATTACATTTGCATATTAACTCAATCCGATCTGTGAGACAATCTCACATAAGTATAACCCATTTTGGTTATACTCTAATTCAAAATTTTAAGCTATCTAAGTATGACTTTATAATTTTTTTAAAAAAATAATAATGTGTTAAAATAATAAATTAACAGGCAACTGAAACAAGTAATGACAACATTTTACACCAGCAATAGCTTGTAATTGGACTGCACGCATTACATATCGGTGAGCTGTGTTCCCAGTTCTTTATTTATTCTTGCAAAAGGCTGAAAGGCTGCCCATGTAGACCGGTGCTCACTACGTACAAGAAGTCCCCCTAACTTTGAGAGGTTGCTCCCACACTGCCACTGGTGAAACTCGATCCCTGGTCATTTATTCAAAGTTTCACCTCTATGACCAGTTGAGCTACCCATGCGGGCCAGTTCTTTATTTATGTATGTACTACACAACTGCTTGTACTACAAATATCAAAATTTAATAATGAAAAATTATACCCTATTTTTCATTTTTAAAAAAAAATTATTTCTTTCTTGCAAAGTTTATAAATATTTTTTGAGCAAATTACACTTTTGGTCCTATGACTATAGGGGGAGTGTTAATTTTGGTTCATGTCTTTTAAAACTAACAATTTAATCCTTTAACTATGCTTTTTTTAGCAGATTTGGTCCTCCGGCCAAATCACCGATGAAAATTGACCGAAAACCTTTTTAAATTTTTTATTTATGAGGGCAAAATGGTCCTTTTACGTTTAAAAAAATTATAAAGTTATATGCTTCTTCTTCGCGTTCACCGCCGAGCCACCGTACCATTCTTGTCACCGGCCAAACTTGTTACTGATGAGCATTTAAAACACAAGTCACCGGGAAAACTTCGTTTCATACAGAAAACGCCAACGGGAACCACCGGGAACAAGGGTTGCGCTCACAAACCCACCACCATCGAGAGCAAAACCCACCGGTCACCATGACACTAGAGAAGGAATCGCCTGAAAAATCCATGCGACGGGGAGGCCAAATGAAGACGCCACCAGAGCAGAAAACGCCAAAGAACTCTCCACCAAAACCACCAGGCGATGGGCCCACAGCCGCAGCCACCGGACGAAAAGGGCAGAAAGGTCGACGTCGAGAACCAGCCACACATCTGAGAAGAAGAGTCAACGCCGTGGAGATGTTTTTTGACCGTTGAAGAACACCAGCAAAAAACGAAGATGTAGTCTCGTAAATCATTGTAAATTCAAAAACAAGTAAGCAGTATATTTTATTATTTTATTGAAGCATGAAATCTGATAAGACTCAATTTCCAGTGAACAAACGAAAAGAATTTCGAAGTTTACTGGAAAAGGAAAATCGACGAACTCGAAGAAGAAGAAATATTTGAAATGACCATTTTTTCCTCATGAATAAAAAATTTAAAAAGGTTTTAATTTTTCCGGCCAATTTTTACCGGTGCTTTGGTCGGGAGGACCAAATCTCCTAAAAAACATAGTTAAAGGACTAAATTGTTAGTTTTGAAAGTCACAGATCAAAATTAACACGATCCGTATAGTCATAGAACTAAAAGTGTAATTTGCTCATATTTTGTCTATTATTTTGGTGTAACTTAGGACATACACCGTCGGATACTGTAACTAATCATTTGCTGAATTATTGTAGACATTTTATGGGTGGAACAATTAGATCAATATATTTTTCTATGCAGATGTATGTACTGTATTAAAATCGTACTACATTCCACTTCAAAAGTTACCTTACAATTTTCAAATTATTCCAAATGAATCATTGCTTCATAGATAATATAATGTCACATTAAAAGGTGAACATAGAAAGCAAAATTAAAAAGGAATATAACATTTTTCACATGCTAAATTAAAGATTTATTGTTTATTTGTAGATTTAACTCTTACATTTGTTGGGTGTTTATGATTTATGAATTTGGTCACTCGCCACAGATCAATTAAGAAGGTGTTCCATCTATTTAAATATGATAATTGAATTTAAAAAAAAAAACTAAAGATTATGAATATGTTTTAGTAAAAATAGTTAGTTTATTCGATAAAAAAAAATTACATAAGTTATTGTTTGAATATGGATAAGTCCATAATTCATTAATTCTGGGGTGAGAACCAAGTTAATAACAACACTTACAACAATAAATTTAAAAATAATCTAATATTGCCTTAAAATGAGCGGTTGAGTGGTGAAACATAATTATTTTACCACAATATCACATATGATATTTCTAGTGTAATTTATCCCTCCATAAGACATTCACAATAGTGGATTTTGAAAGATTTTTGCAGGTTTTAAAGCTTAGGTTAAGGTAGGGGTGTTAGTGAACATAGCTTTCGACAAACTACTCGTGTTCGTGTTCGGTAAGCGTTCGTTTGTTAAGATAAACGAACCATTAACAAACAAAAATTAGAGTTCGATTAATAAACGAACAGAGCTTGAACAGTTGTATGCTCGTTTGCTAAGAGATAGTGAACAAGGCTGTTTGTGTTCGTTTAATAATATTCGTGAACAAGCTTGTTTAGTGTTCGTTTAATAATGTTCGCGAACATGAACATAGATTATTTCTTGTTCACGAACGAATTGTGATCATGAACATGTGTAGGTGTTTGGTTATTAAAGGTTCACGAACGTGCTCATGAACGTAAACCAACATGTTTGTGAACGTTTTTGTTAACGAATATGTTTGTTAACGTTAACGAACTCGTTCGTGAACGTGTTTGTTAACGTAAATGAACACGTTCGTGAACGGGTTCGCGAACATTAATAAACATGTTTGTGGACATGTTCGCAAACGTTAACAAACGCTAATGAACGCTTAACAAACGAACCCACGGACATGATTTAAAAAAAAAAACCTTAACAAACGAACACGACACGAACACCCCTAAATTCTTAACAAACGAACACGAACAACCTTCGTTCATCTATGTTCGGTTCGTTAACAGCCCTAAGTTGAGGAAAGAGAAATAGGGGAGAAATCGTTCAAGAACCTTACATGAGATCATTGGTTTTTGTAGAGATTGTGGGGCCCACTAGAAAACAAAGAATCTCTCGGGTTTGCGCGAGGTGCTCTAGGAGCGCCCAGTCCGGCTCGTTAATGTGAAGAATTTTTTATTTTTTATTTTTTAAATTTTGTTCTGTTTTTCTTTTCCCTTTCCTCTCATTATCTTTCTTAGTCACATTTGTCAAAAATTTTCAAAATCTACAACTATTAAGAATACTCTTAACTTCTTACACAAGAGAGGTTACTTTTAACTGTAAAATTTTTCACATCATTTTAAAAAATAAAAATTAAAGAATTAAATGTATAACAGAGGAAACTATGCAACTAATTTAGATGGGTTGTCCCAACTGTATACTCATTCTATAATGCATTGTCGTATCAAATACTTCCATCTCTTTTCCAAAAAAAAAAAAAAAAAAAACAAAAACAAAAAAAACTTTGATCTTTTGTCTGACCGCGTTGACCCGTCATATAAATACGTAACCTCAAGAAACTCACAATCATCTCCACACCCACCATCGTCTCTCTCTCTTCCCTCTGCAACCACCTACATCTCTCTACATTCTTCCCAGTCAGAACGTCACTTCTGATAATTGATGACAAAGGTACACCCAAACGCGGCCTCCGCCATTCCTACTGCTCTGGCTGATGAGGAGCTTCCCAGGCCGGCCTGCCACTGCCTCTCATCGCCGCCGCAGCCTACAGTGCTCACCGTGTGGAAGAAGTCGCTGCTTTTCAACTGCGACGGCTTTACGGTGTTCGACGATAAGGGGAACCTCGTCTACCGCGTCGATAACTACTATGACTCCAGCAATCGAGCAGAAATCGTTCTCATGGACGCCTCCGGCAACTCGCTCTTCACTATTCGCCGCAAGGTATGGATAGATCGCATCGAAATTTCGAGAAATCGATCGAATTTTGTTGGAATAGAATGAGTTGTTTAATTTTGAGAAATTGATCGAATTATCAAAAATTTTGAGAAATTGAATTGTGTTGGAGTATAATGAGTTGTTTAATTTTGAGAAATTGATCGAATTATCAAAAATTTGAGAAATTGAATTGTGTTGGAGTATAATGAGTTGTTTAATTTGAAATTCCAGAGGCTAAGCTTGGCGGACAACTGGGTGGTGTACGACGGAGAGACGGCGGATCGTCCGCTGTATTCGGTTAGGAAGCACGTGAGCCTCCTGAATTCGAAGTCCCTAGCGCACGTGACCTCGCTCCGTGGCTCCGGAGCGAAAGGATCGAAGAATGCCAGGGTTTTCGAGATCGAAGGGTCCTATGCCAACCGGAGCTGCGTCATGTACGACGACGTGCGGCGGCGCGTGGCGGAGATCAAGCGGAAGGAGGCCGTGGCCGGAGGAGTGATTTTCGGGAGAGACGTCTTCCGCCTAATTGTACAGCCGGAAATCGATCCTTCCGTCGCCATGGCGATGGTTATCCTTCTTGAACAGATGTTTGGAGGAGGCTCCTCCAGACGCTTTTCCTTCTGAATATATATATCCCTTTTTTTACATGCAAATTCCTCTTACTATTTTCCAGAAATTGATGGTTTTGAACGATTTGCTTCCCCCAATTTTTACTTTTTATTTTTATATATATGCATATGAAGTTAGCTCTTCTCTCTTTTAGTCACGGGAGAGCCAGCTCCAAGCGGGGAAGTATTCGTACATGTGTAGCTGTAAAGACAACTCTATTTACGAGTTGAAAAAAAAATATATGATAAGTGTAATGTAATGAAAGGGGTGCCTCGCTTTTTTTTTTTTTTTTTTTTTTTTTTTCCTTCTTTTAATTAATAAAAATTATATCATGTTAGTAGGAGTAAAAATAAAATAAAGAGTAATATTTTTTTAGGAGTGTATTACTAGGTTAATAATGTTTGATTAAAGTTATTTATTAATTTTTTTTTTTTTTTTTGGGGAGAAAAGGGTCAAAAATAGACTCTTAAACTTTACCTTAAAGATCAATTAGGTCCCTAAATTGTAGGAAAGTACAATTAAATTCTCAAACATGTCAAATTAGGTCAATGAAGTCCAAAAATTGATAAATGACATGTTATTACAGGTCATTTCAATTTCGCGCGACCGGCGAAAAAATTCGGTCACCAATGACAAAATCCGACCGTCTGATCGTCTTTCATTGGAGAAGACACGATCGTCTTCTCCAATCCATTGGAAAAGACGGCCGTCTTCTCCATTGGAGAAGGCGGCCGTCCAGTCGCCTTCTGCAGTGGAAGACGATCGGACGGTCGGATTTTGTAGCTGGTGACCAGATTTTTTCGCCGGTGGCCGGAAATCGTCGTCGGAATTGAAATGACATGTAATAATAGGTCATTTATCAGTTTTTGGGTTTCATCGACCCAATTTGACATGTTTGAGGATTTAATTACACTTTTGTAAAATTTAGGGGCCTAATTGACCTTTGGGGTAAAGTTTAGGGGCCTATTTGACCCTTTTCTCATTTTTTTTTATAGTATTTAATTTAATATTAGTACATAAAATTTACGGAGTATATATTTAGTAATTATATATTATATTAAAAGTATTATTAAATAAAAAAAAATTAAATTTACAAATCATAAAGAAAATAATAAAAGAAAAATGAGTTACATTAACTAATGAATTGTAAACAGAACACTTAAATTGAATTAAGAGTAGTAGTACATATTCCGTATATTATTAATTTTACAAGCTTCACTATGCTTTCTTTATCTGTGCAATACTCCTTCACTTTCAAAAGTTGGAGGTCCTACTTCTACATCATCAAATTTGTAATTCCTTCATTATTTTTCTCTACATTATTACTGCAATGGTCCCTAACTATTGACAATTATCAATTTTTATCCTCGACTTCAATTGGACCATAAATGATCAATTGACTATTGATATTTACCAATTTTTATCATTGATTTTTAATTTGAATATTAATGATCCATTGACTATTGATTTTGTCCCAAATTTGATCATCCAATTAAATATAATTTAGTAAATATTAAATTTAAAGGTAATAGTGTAAAAATTGACTTCTTGTTGAGATGAGCAAATTGGGTTCATAAACTTAATAGACTGGGTTCATTATTATTACTCTTAAATTTAATATTTACTAAATTGATTTTTAACTAGAATACCAAATCCGGAACAAAAACAATAGTTAATGATCATTTATGGTGAAATTAAAAGTCGATGATGAAAATTGTTAAAAATCAATAGTACCATTTATGATTCAATAGAAAGGCAGTGATAAAAATTGATAAATGTCAATAGTCAATGGACCATTTTGTAATTAACTTCTTTCAAAGGTGGTCACACTTTCACATTACATTATAATACTAGTTTTTCACGCGCATTACGCGAATGAAATAATGCCTAATATTTATTTGTAAATAAGTACTTTAAAGTATATCAATGCAAGATTATATAGGAGATGTTCATGCATAGGTAATTAAATGTTGAATTTGTTTATTTAAATCGGTAATTCAAAGTATATGAGTACAAGATAATATATGAGAGATTGATTATAATTGTCACTAAAATAAATGTTTGCAACTTTGTAAAAACGCTAGTCTAAATAAATATTACTTTTAGTTTGAATTTCTCTAAGTCTTCTTAATTCTCTTTTGGATAACATTGTCTTGTCTTTATCTTTAGTACTTGTCCTCTTCTTTTTTATTAGTGGTGTGTCATGTGCTATTGGGTTACAGGTGGTAGCATAGAGGGCAGCATCATGTAATAAGATTATGGTGTAGGAAGCTGTGAATTTGCTTTGTTGTGTATATGACTAGGATCTTAGTTGTACTATGAACTCTTGATCTTGCAAGCGCCTGTTGATATTTGACAGTGGTAGTTTTTCTCCTACACGTTTCATATATTGTGAGATGTCTCTCGTAGATTCTAATGTGAAAGTATTGAATAAAATATTCATATTTATTATATTTGTAGAAGGTTCATGAGGGAGTACATCTTGTTCTAGTTTCATAACTTGTTTACTTGATAGTAACAACAATGACTCTGCAGGTAGTCTGAATACTGATGCCACAATGTGTCTAGTTTTATCAACAATTTTCCTATCTATATTTCAACTGTTCATTTTGAAGTTCATATTTTTGGAATTAGTATGAATGAATGTAATACTTGACTTTGTGTGTACGCGTGATTTTTGTAAATTTTTTTATTGAATTGATTATAACCTTTAAGTACCACTACTATCTTTTCACCACAATACATGCAGTTATATAATTTGTAATTTTGTGCATAAATCTTTTTT